TGCCATGTCCTGCAGAACCAATCTTTTACTTTCAAAGGCCTCCTGTAAGAGGGAGGCATGACAGACAAAAACAGATAAACAGGGTGACTCTCTGGAGACCCTGGACAGCTACTGGCTCTGGGGGAAAGGAGCATGCATTAGATGCCATCCCAGAAAATAAGATGCTTTTTCAAAAATGTTCTGGTATGTCATATTTTTATTTTTAAATTGAATTTTTAAACTTTTTTTTTTTTTGCGAATTGTTGCATGAAATGCATGTTTTCAATTCCTTTCAAATTTCAGAATTTAGGTGAGGCTTTCTAGGTATTAACATACCTCTAACTGTGCAAAAATATGAGACAATGACTCGTTTTGAAACACTACGCATGCAACATTATTAATAAAAGTCATCTTTGGAGTCATATTGGAGATAGTTTATTTTCAAGTACTCCAGATAGGATGGTTGGCAGCACAAAAGTATCATGTTCATTGTTGCTACTTTTAGCTTTCTTCATCCTAAGATGATCAGGAAGAATTGGATAGTGACTGACAGCAAATCCTTCTTTTATCTTCTCTTTCTTTTTCTTCTTTACTGGGAGCCCCGTCTGCAGTAGGAGAAATAAAAACATCGGGAAGAACCAGTACAAAACACTTGATGTATTTTAGAAGACAGCTGGAGCTAGCCTGGTAAATGACCTGAACTTTGACAGGTCAGGTGGAGTGTGACCAACCTAATGACCACCATCCGATGAATCACAGTGCACTGTAACAAATGTTTCACACATGCTCTTCTTGTAAGAGCTGGAAACTCGCCTAGATGTAGAAGTTCACAAGATACCACATCGGTCTTGCCCATCTGCGTTGCCTTGAGAACTGATACCAGTAACATTTAATGTCTTTGTGACTTGTAGTCCCAAGTTTCTAAAGGTTGATGACATCAGTCTTTTCCTTGAAGGATTTAGTGGTCACTAAAATTAGACGAAGAAGTGAAAAGACGGAAGGTCACCCAACAGGTCGATGTTGGAGCTGTGCAGAGTAGCCTTCTGACCTGGGCACTCCACAGAGCCTTGTTACGGTGGTGTGTTTAGTCAGCTCCGCTCCGTGTTGTAATTTATTGTCTGTGGTGTTATGGATGTCTAAAGGGTAGGATTTTAACTTAACAATCTGCTGTGTTATTGAATTAGTTTTATGTTGTGTTAATTTCTTTGTCTTATGGCATTCATTGCCTGTGATAATTGATGCACAATATATAACCGACTTCTGTATTCATTTGGGTAACTGCATTTAATTGCCTGGTATAAAATATGTGTGCTAAGTACAATCTGCTATGACTGCTATGACTGAGAAGTGCTCATTGGTATGGACTTGAGGGTGTTTTATCTTCCTTGACAACCTGTCTGAGGAAAGTCTGAATGTTTCCCACAATCCACCATTCAAGGACTGGTACTTGCTTTGTGTTTGCAAAAAGAAAGACAACGGAAAGTGTCCTGTGGAATTGCTTTACAGTGCTTGGCATTAAAATTTTGTTAATCAGAAGCTCTCAAATAGGGAAGTTTGTATTAACATCCCAACTCCCCACCCAGAACTCAAAGAACAGCAGTGCCCAGAAGATTTCACACATTTTCTCCTGTACATCAGGATTATGTCTTTATTTGATTCTGAAGTTACTCTCCTGGAGTAAAGCTACTCCCATGCACGAATGTTTCTAAACATGGATTTCTTTTACATATATCTTCAGGTCATTAATGCCCAGAGGAGTACTAATGAGTTATAAATCAGGAATGCTTTCAAAAGGTTCACATTTCATCTGTTGGATGATGTTGGTGCATGTCTGCTCAGGATACACAGGACCCCTGCATAAGCTTACACTTTCTTGCATGTTTAACCAGTATCACAGTGTTTCCTTTTACTTTTTAGAAAGCAAGAATTGTTACTAGTACATGTATTTCTCATGATACACAGCACTTTGCTCTTTATATGACCGAGTGAGTAGGCTTATTTGTTTGCCTGGCTTGTTTTGTTTCCAGTGTCATGAAAGGTATAATAGTGCAGTGTCTGAGCTACACAAAGAAATACTGAAATATGTCAAAAGCTGATTTTACTTTGGGTATTAATGAAACCTTCCTCCATCCGAATTTTCATTTTTTAATCAAAAGCTAATGGTTCAGTCTAAATCAGGTGTGAAATGCCTGTGAGATTATTTTAGCCATATTATGTTGCTCTGTGTTAATGTAACTGGTGAGTTGTCAGTAGAAGAGATATCCACAATTAGTATTTTTCTTAAGACAGCTACTTTCTACAGGCTGTGTCCTTTAGGAAGTAGCATTAGTTCTGCCTACAGCTTGCTGCAAATTATTCACTCTTCATAGGTGCATTTATACTTGTTATTCAGCTCTCTTCCACTGACAAAATAGCCTGCAGCAGTTCTTGGTTAAACAGGACTCGTTCCACTTTAGGCACCTCATGCCTTTTGTGATTTTTCCCTTGGTCCAACCTGCACTGCATCCAGGTACTGCTGAAGAAACAATAGTCTTGACGGCCAAAGAGAAAGCAAAGCTGCCCCGAGCCAGCATGGGCTATAAGAGTATGTTTCGAGCACAGACTTTTGTGGCACGCTGGGCAGAGCTGGTGGCATAGTACAAGGGGAATTTCAACAATTAACCCACCAATTCTGCTTTATTTCATACTCATGGTGTTATGTTTTTCCTCCTGTGCAAGGACTTTAACAAATGCTTGTGGGTAATTCATGAAAATATACCAAAATTTGAAATATGTGAACAACCTGGTGGAAGACAAACACCAAAAAAGTCACTTATTAATTGCCAGTAGGCTGAGGTGCATTTGTCTAGTCCAGTGTCTGATTCTTTATGGATGGGTTCCCTTTGCTGGCGGAGCTGGTACAGCTGCAATGTGGGTTTGGGGAACCCACAAAAGTGTAGAGCTCGGCAGCAAACCACCCAGCGCACACTTTGCAAGGCAGTAAAACTGGAGGAGAGGGGGTGGCAGAGAGTGTCCAACACCCTTTTTCTTGCCCTTATACCAGTAATCCACACCTTTGCAGGGCATATTCCAAAACCATGGGGCAGCACCTCCTCCCTCCCCATTAGTCAGGGTGATGCATTATTGGGACAAGGAACTAACACACAGCAGGGTATGAAGAAGCATTTCATTGCTATTGGTTTTCAGATGCACCTTCCTATATCAAGGCAACAAGGCTGCCAGGCATGGGAAGAAGTGAACCACTCTCATCTGGGCTATTCAGCATATATTTATAAATCAGGATTGATTTGGGAGTGATTCATAAAGAGCAAGGGGGGCTGTACTGTGTGAGAAATAACTTATTGACAAGGCATAATTCAACCAGCTCTAACCTTGAAATAAATGCTTGTGGTCAGAAGTTTATAGCCTGAGTGGAAAGAGCTAAGTACAAGTTTAAAGAGCTGAACGGGAGACACCCAGTTTTTAAAAACTTGACATAAATCTCAGGTGGCTTGCCTTATGTTAGTCACATTCCCTGCAGAGGACTTCCGTTCAATGTTTATTTGGTGTTTACAGATGTTCTTTAAAAGCTAATTTTATCATAAAATTATTTTATGTTATGTATAATGAATAGTGGAGATCAAATAAGAATTGGAATTGCAAATTCATATATTAAGAGTTGACAAATATTGACTTTTAAATAGACCCACTGTAGATTTGAACAAAATGGTTTTTAGCCTAGTATACTGGTTTTTTGAAAATTACAACATACTGAAAATGTACAACATTGTCTGATCTTGACTCTTTCCTCACTTTTAAAGCTATTTATGTGGCCATGTTCTTATGAAGTGATCTGTATGTTGTCAGGGGACTATAATATGAAACTTTCTAGCTTGTACATTATGCACATTACATGGAAACAAAAAGGGTGTGGGAGGTACTAAGATAAAATATAGTGTAATCATGTTAATTGTGTCTTTTCTAAAGATGAATTCTTAGGGTTTGCACATTGGAAACCTCTTAATTAGGTCTCTCAAGTACTTTTTTAAAGACAGCACAAATATCTTAGGGCTGAACAAGCCACTGACATGCACCTGTACAGCATTTAATGACACCTCTGAACACTTGGAAGCATTTGGTCAGTTGTTGTCCACTAGTACCTTAGGCTGCTGGCCAGCAAAAAAAAAAAAAAAATAGTAGTCCCCCTTTGCCCATAGTCATGTATAACTAATAAACAGACTAACATGGGCACATATCTGTGATCCTCCTCACCCCAGGGTTTGCTTCCTTTTCTGGGAGTGCTGGGAGCTCACAGCCTTTGGTCACACCTCTACCCATTCAGTCACCCAGCCTCCTTTCCAGCCAGCCATGCGCTGACATGGTGAGTTTCACAAACAACAATAACAACAGCCAGAAGTTACCCTCATGTAAAATTCATGGTCTGACAGATGCCTGATGAAAGCAATGTGGTTTAGCTAGAAGCTACTCCACCTTTGCTTCGAGCTAACTAACCTTTCTGAGCCAAAGATACAGCGTTAGTTAAGGAGCAGGCATCATCCTCTGCTTTGTTAAACTTCCTTACTTTTCCATATCTCTGTTGGCACCATTCTCTAGGTCATTGAAGGGTAACTTTTTATTTTCCTCCTTTCATCTCAGAACAGGAGGATATTTTCTTGAAACTTGCAACATCAGTTAATTGTTAACAGGTTAAAAAAAATAAAAAATCATATTCATCCCTTAATATGTTCTTTCAGCTGATGCGTTCATGCTGAGGAGGCTGTGTAGCTACTGATAAGACCTAATTTGTGAAGGGCTTTTCAGCGGTCTGACAGGTTCATACGTGGCACTGTTTGTTCACAGGCGAGGATGAGTTTTCGCTGAAACGCCTCTACAGTGGTCTCTAGATGCGTGCAGAGAGGCTGGGACTGGCGATCCAGTGGGAATGGGCAGGAGCTTCGAATGGATTCCCAAAGCAGTCTGTTGTTTTGCAACTATGTTCTGACTGCAGCACTTGGTAGCTGATCTTGTCTTTTCTCTTTCAGAGCCTAATGAGCTGTGTGTGGGCCCTGTGTTCGGTGACATCCCATCTCAAGATGTTGCTAATACAGTAGTTAATTATTCCTAGCTGAAGAAGTCTAACAGGAGCAAAAGGAACTGGGGAAAAGCAATGGCTGCAGGTAAGTATTTCAGGTCTGCAAAGGCCATAAGAAAATAACTGGAAAGAGCTGATTTCAGCTGTGACCGGGGAGTGGAGAAGCATAAATGGGTGATCATACCTTGTATGGGAGGTTCAGTAGCAGAAAGGTATCATTCCTTAGCTGTCTGACTCACTGTTCCTTCCCCAACCTAGAAAAATCCATACCTGGGTTCATCTTATTTTGACCATATTCATAATAATTTTCTTTTAGTTTTTGAATACAGCTTTATATTTCCCATAGGCCATTGATTTGATTTAACCTCTTTTTAGTTAGAGGCTGATGTATTCCTAATCCTTTTACCAAAAAATAAGATAGCACCTCATGAAAAATGGGTCTTTCATTGGAAGGTGTTTTGTTCCCACACTTCTCTGACAGAAGACAATATATAAATTATATCAGAGTGTTACAGGATGATTCATTCAGGTTGAGAGAGACCTCAGAATGTCTCCAGTTCAACCTCCTGCTCAAAGCAAGGCCAGCCATAGGGTCAGACCAGTTGATCAGGGTTTGATCAAGTTGAGTCTGGAAAGCTGCTAAGGACGGCAGCTGCACAGAATGCTCCACTGCTTGACTGTCCTCATGCTGAAAAAGTTTTCCATATAACCAGCCTGGACCACTTTTGGGGTTTTTTATGTCTGTTGAATGTTTCCAATGTCTTTATGTTTTGCTAAACAATACCCAGCACTATTATCGGTGGTCTAGAGAGCGAACCGTAACTAAGAAACCAAACAAACTCAAAATAAGCAGTGGTTGTGATATCTCACTTTCACTGAAAGTTCTGGTTAAAAATCCTGCTGCATTGGCTTTTCTACTTACTGTGTGTTTCTTTTCTGGCAGCAGCTGATGGATTGGGAAGTATAGCTATAGATACCACACAACTTAACATGTCAGTCACGGATCCAACGGCTTGGGCTACAGCTATGAATAACCTGGGGATGGTTCCAGTAGGACTAGCTGGACAACAGCTTGTGACAGGTAAGATTTTTAAAGAGATCATTTGTACTGTGCATGAATTCTTCATGTCCTTTTAAAAATATATGGAATGTTTTCTGAGTCTATTATATTTTCATATTCTGAAAACATCATCTACGATTAATATTGCATACCGTGTATTAGTCTCTTCTTGTAGTAGGTGTATAATCCGTGTTATATTTTAACCTTGTGGAAAATCCAAAACTCTTTGGGGAAATTAAACAACTAAACCATCTATCCTTATGCTGGGTCAAGACCAGAAGGCAGGTCACATAAAAAAAGGTTTGTTTCTGTTTCTTTGTCAAAGCAGGATGTCTTGAGGTTCTGCCAGGGAATACCCTGGGCTGGGAACTCTTGACCAGAGAAAAGTTTTGATGCTAACTGGGCAGAAAATCATGAAGCCCGTTCAGTTCATAGGCTCAGCTGATATTAGTAAAGTGAGGCTTTCCTATCAGGTGTGTGGTTATTTACTTTCTGTCTGACTCCACAAACTGAATTTCAAGAGTGTTCTTGTTTGTTATTTTGCTCATAGTTTGGGAGAGTGTTGCAGGGGATCACTTATCCTCATAATAATAAAAATGGTATTTTGAAACCGGCAATGTTTCCCAGACAAACCTGGATATATTAGGCACCATTGTCAACAGTAGCTGCCCAGTTATTTGGGATTAAGAAAACTTCATTGTTCTTGTGAGGTAGAGAAAAATTATTTTTATGTAGGTGGATGCCTTATAGAATTGAGCCACATGCCAGTCATATGATAGAACCCCTCTGGAAGCTGCATTGTCACTTCTACTTAAGAGGAGCTGTTGGAAGCTGCTGGATCACAGCAGCATCCTGTTACATCCATGCCTGTGCAGATAGACATGGATGCAGTGAGCAAGGTCATGGTGTAAATCACTCTGTCTGCCTCACCGGAGATGTGTGATGCTTAATTTTGGCCAAATATGTCCCCTTCTGAGAATGGGAACCAAGTGGAGCTGTGCCAGTTCACAGCTGACTGTCTGGCTCTGAACTACCTGTTTTACAGGCGGGTAGACTAAGCTGCAAGAATGATGATTTATAATGAATCTCAAGCAGGGAGTTTAGCTGGTGTAGGCCATGAACTAATTCTTGGTCTCTGGCTTTAACCCCACACTCCCAATTAAAAGAAACAAGCAAAGCCATCCGCTCCTGGGGAGTCAATTCTCTTCAATGTCTTTATCAGTGACCTGGACACAGGAGTTGAGAGCACAGTAAGTTTGCTGATGATACTAAATTAGGAGGAGCCATTGATTCTCTCGAGGATCGAGAGGCCTAACATAGAGATCTGGATAGATTAGAGCCCTGGACAGTCACCAACCGTATGACATTGAACCAAGACAAATCTGGATTCTGTACCTGGGATGGTGTAATCCTGAATGTACATGTGGATTGGAGGGCAAGAGGCTTGGAGTGCAGCCCTGCTGAAAGGGAGATGGGGTTTTTGGTTGCTGGGAAGCTCGATGTGAGTCAACAACGTACCCTGGCAGCCAAGAGGGCCAACCTGGGGTTCATTAAGCGCAGTGTGGCTAACCGGTCAAAAGAAGTGATTGTCCCACTTTACTCTGCATTAGTGCAGCCTCACTTTGATTTCTGTGTGCAGTTTGGGGCTCCAAAATATAAGAAGTATATCAAAATACTAGAGTGTGTCCAAAGGGAGGAAACAAAGATTGTGAAAGGACTAGAGGGAAAGGCTCAGAAGGAGCAGCTAAGGTACTGGGTTTGTTCAGCTTTGAGTAAAGGAGGCTGAGGGGAGACCGCATTGCTGTGTACAACTTCCTCATGAGGGGCAGCAGAGAGGGCAGTGCGGATCTCTCCGGTGTCCAGTTATAGGGCAAATGGGACTGGCTTAAAGCTGCATCGGGGAGGTTTAGATTGGTAATTAGGAAAAATTTCTTCATTGTGAGGGTGGTCAAGCACTGGAACAAGCTTCTCAGGGAGACGGTCGTGGACTAAAGCCTGTTGGTGTTCAAGAAGCCTTCTGCCGATGCTTTTTGATACATGGTTTAGCTTGTCCTGTATGGAGCCAGGAGCTGGACTTGACGATTGTCGTGGATCCCTTCCAACTCAGGATGTTTTATGATTCTGTGTGTTGGTGGGAAACAGCTTTTCTTTTCGGGGAGGTAAGGAGGGCTTTGCCTGCAGGTGCTGCGCTCAGCTTGAATGAGATTATTTCCAAACCTGAAAATAGCCCATATCAAAATCAGCTTCTGCTGCTTTCATTCGTAAACATCTCAGTTGTCTATCCCATGGAGGTTTTTCCAACTCTTTGTCTGCCCCTCTTCCTCTGTCTCTCCAGTTTTGGTGTAAATAGTGTCCTCAGGTGTGCAATGCAGTCCCTACATGGCAGTCTCATCTCATGTGCAATGTTTTTCCCCACAAGGGAGGTTCTCCAGGACTTTATTTTATTGCCAGCTCCCTACTGTAATTTGCAAAGTTACGTGTTTCATGTGTTGTAAGGTATTGTACAGGTCAGTTGGTATTTGTTTAGCATTTTCAATGTATGAAAGGTGCCATAAGTAATAAATATTAATTACTGAAGTGCTACCTGATTTCTCTACGGGTGCAGAATAACTTCTTTTCTCTCCTTTTGCTTTCCTTTGTTTGAAACTGTCTTTTATTTTCAAGGTAGATAGATACTTTGACACTTCATTATATTTCCTTATGATTCATAAGTTTTTGACACATTTTCTTCTTGGCAAGTCCACAATGGCGAAAGCACAATTTACCATGAAAAGATTTACAGACTTGTTATAATTTATTGTATTTGCATTCAGTGAGAGTTTGCATCACCATTTCAACCAAATATCTAACTAGTCCTTAGCCCTTTCTGACTATTTTAATTTTTTTGCTATTATTCCTAGTAATGAACTTCTCTTTGTCAGCAGTCACATATTGCTTTTGCTGCTGTCACCAGTGACATTTCTTGGAGATTAAAATGACACACCCATGTCCTTGTGCTAACTTTTTTTCTGTCTCTAAAAATTTATTGTATTCTTTTTTTCCTGCCTTGATGACAGCTAGGAAAGCAGTAAGTAGATTAATCTTGGAGAGAGTGTGATCTTTCCTGGGTAACATTACATAACGTTCTATAGTCTGAAACTTGGTGTATGGTACTCACCTATATCCTGGCATATCTCTTAGTTCTCTGTCTTTCAGTTTCCAAAAGACATATCCATTCATGGCCTTTCTTTCCCCAAACCCACTGCTTCCTAATTCCTGAATTGCATGGTGGTTTTTTTACCTTAGGTATGGAGCCCATATGATCTACTCAGTCTTTTCAAAGATTCTTTTACGTGTTTGGTTTTTAGGTTTTTTCCCCCCAAACTGTGCTTAACTTTGCTGCTGTGTAACATGCTGGGATGCCTGCCTTGTAACAGAGTTATGCTCCCCACTTTGCAATCTGTGAAGCTCTTGCCTAGCCTGAGATTTTGTTAAAATGACAACTAAAGCTTCTGTAACATCTGTCCAATACTCTTCTCACAGCCCAGGATGTAGGCTGTGTGGTCTTGGTAACTAATCAATTTTAAGCACTGCTAACCTTTTAATACTAGTTTAGATGATATCTGCACTCTATTTAATTCCTTATCTCTCAGTGCTGTAAAATTGGATTTTTGATCTGGGCAAATGTCAGAGCCTTTCATTTGTAAAGACGAATTTTTGTTAATAGCTGCATAATATCTTCTGTTTCTGCAAATATTTTGCTTACCCTTATTTTTATTTAGAAAGCTTACCTTTTTCCATAATATTTGGTTACTGCATTACATATACACTACTATATGTATTTATACATTATATATACATAATTCATACAATAAACTGTCGTTTAATAATGCATTACTTAAAGTGTTAAAAATTGATGTGGAATAGTTATGGCTGAAATGCATTTTCATTCTAAACCTCCCCTTTCAGCAGGTTATAATTTTTTGCAAAAAATTACCTTTTGGGCTGAAATTTCTCACGGTTGATCTCAGCCCAGAGGAAAAAAAAATTCTGGAAAGGTTGGAGAAAATCTGCTAAACTGCTTCTGAATTGTCTAGGCCTTAAAATTGCAGTTTTCTACGCTTTGAGACCTTGAGAAAAATGGTCAGGTGAGAGGGGGAAAGATAGTTTGTCCTCCACCTTTTTGAAATCTGAATCCTCTCTGTGTTCTCAGCAACTCTGATTCGAGCTCATCTTTCATGCACATTCAAGTCTGCTCTTTTCTTACATTTTAGGACTATCAGAAAAATTCAATGACCTCAGGCCAACCGAGAATGTTTTATTTTGCTTTTGCATTGATACTTTTTAAAGACAATTTTGGCATTGCTGCATTTAGTGTTCTTATGCTTTCATTTGTTTCAGCAAATGGCAGCAGGTCACATGTTTTCTAAAGGAAGACATTCTGCTAGGAAAATTATTTACTTCTCTGGTTCAGTTTGGTTCTCTTTTCACCAATGAACCATTGCCTTAAAAAACATGAAGCGATTTTAGAGGTACTTTCCTCCACTATGACTTAGATCATGTAAACATTTATTAGTAAAAAATGTTATATGTCAAGAAGTTCCCAGGTAAAAATGAACATTAAGAGTGGTACATAAGTGGTCATTCTTTCAGACTTAGTTAAGCTCATGCCCTGTGCTGCATATTTGTGCTCTTACAGCCAAAAATAACAAACCACAAGGACAGACATCCAAGATGCAAGTTACAGATCTGTCTAGGCTGTGCTTCAAAACTGATGCCTTCTACATATTTGCAGGATAATTCTTAAGGTACACTTTTCCATGTGAGTACAACCACCATGCCTCAGCCTTTAGATGTTACAATTTTCAGTGGCCTCCGGTCTTGTTTTTGCTGAAGTTAGACTTTGACCACTAGTGCAAAATCCTAGTGAAATCAGAGACTAGGAAGCTTTGAAGCCTAACGTCTTGCTTACCAAAAGGTATAGAAAAAACATACACCATTTTTGTGGCCTCAGGCATGTATTTTTAAGACACTGGAGGTTG